GAACCGCGGCCCCGCTGGGGTGCCGGCGCCGCTTCCTGGACGGGAGGTTTTACACGTCTGGCCCGCAAAGGTCGCAGCCAAGGCGCCCGTCCCGCCAGCGCCGGTCCCGCGACACGCGGCTCTCGGTGCCCGGCCACCCGTCTTTCGGGGGCTCCGAGCGAAAGCTGAAGAGTGGAGCGTTTCCCTAGGCCTGAGAGGTACTCTTCGCGTACTCAGGTAAACCAGAAACGAGAGGCGGAGAGGAAGCGTGCTGGGCTGTACCCTTCGCGTCTTCCTTTGTGGTTAATACGACCAAGCGTTAGGCAGTTTGGAATGCCAAGCTGGGGAAGCCGCAGGTCCCGTCTCTGTAACTGAGTGGCGGTGATGGCGGTCACTCCCGTTTTTCCTTGGGATAGTGTCACTTGCTGTGACACTTGCGATGTATGTCGAAAATAGTTCGCGACCCACCTTCCCACAGACTCCCTCCCTAAGAGGTGATCCACAACGAAAAATAAAATACTCACTATGCAGCGAGTACAGGATTTCGGCAGTGGGCTTGGGAAGAATACAGAACATATACGGCCATGAGTTACAGGCGCAAAAACCATCGGAAGAGGTTTCCAGTAAGACCGTAGACCACAAATGCCAAGGAGTTGCCAGATCCCCAGATTCAGCGACAGCCCCATAATTCACAAGGATTTACATAAAGCAAATCTGGCAAGATGCAGAGGTTCAATTTTGTGACCCATTCAACGATTTCAATGTTTTCAAAGCTACTTTAGACTGGCCTAGCTGCCCTCTTCTAAACCAGCATCCAATGAAAGGCACAGAAACATGTAATGGGAACAATATTTTGAGGATACCGAATATTTTGTCCTCCTCAGTTCCCTGGTTCCTAGTTGTCCCTCAGTTCCTAGGTCTCAGCCTCACCTGCAGGCTCAGTGGATAATGTAGGGAGGATTCCCTTTTCTCTGCAATGGTTGAGCCTGAAGGCTTAGAGTTCCCGGGAGAAGGAGAATAAGGCACAGAGAAGGCCTTCCAGGAAAAGAACGACATGCCAGGCTGAAGGAAGGTAGGAAGGAGAAGAGGGGAGCTGAGGTTCTGTGGAAGTCAGCCAGGAGCAGGGCAGATCCAGCAGGTAGCCTGGGAGCGGGACAGGGATGCTCCAGCACAGCTGGAAGAAGCAGGCGGACAGTCAAGCTGAGGCTGTTCTCTTAGGAAAGAGTTCAGAAATGTTCCTACAAGAGAACTATCCTAAGTGGGGATTTCATAGCCAGAAGTGAATACCTGGAACCAAGGACTTCAGCGACAGCCAGAAGCCCACAAAGCCAGACAAGCCTGGTAACCCCAGTTCAGAGACCAGCCCTACCAGCCAAAACCAGCAGGAATCCAGGGAGGACAGTGAGGGTCTGGGACCTGCCCCCATTGCACACACATGCACCCTTCTTCCCTGCCACCTCTTGGAAACCAGGGCGACTTCTCACCCTACATGCCCCTGTCACTCTCATTTATTTGGAAAGGTGGGCAGAAGGCAGGCTGACTAGATTTTATAGGCATTTCACCACAATAAACTGAGGAAAGAATTCTCATCTTGATCTCACTGCACTAGGAAACTTGTCTGAAAAGTTGGCGTTATTGACCATTTTTCTCATAAAAAAGAAGCAGAGGTGTTAACCATGACCGGGAACACTTTTCAGAAACCCTGAGCTTTATAGTGTGATTCTGTGAATCTTCCTGATGGCACACACCCAACCCGAGAGCTGGGCCTTTGCTGGATCAGGGCTCAGAAGCATAGGGTCAGGTCAGAGAGACACTGAGGGAGTTCCCCCGAGGGGTTCAGGGGCTCCGTCTCTGTCTCCAAATGACTTTTCTACTGGATCACGTTAAGGGCTCCTCCATAGCAATTCTAGACCAGTATTTAGAAACTTGTTCAAAAATGCCGGATCACCTAACTTCCTTTCTGTGTTCATGAGTGTGACTCTCTATGACACATAATTAAAATTCATCTCTACCTACATTACTTAACATTTTCTTACAAATTGCAACTTTGTTCCCACGTTATTTTTTTCTGTTGCTAATACATTGAACGCCTGTTACAAGTATAACATTTCACATAATTTGCAGCAATTTCTTGGAAACCCTTGGTAAATACCTCAATTGTTTGTTGGCAGCAAGCCTCCAACAACGGACAGAGTTCCCTGTAAGAGCTTCTTTAAAGACGAAGCTTCTGGACTCATTCCTCAAGCAAGGGTCCCTGGAAAACGCCATAATTTAAAAAAAAAAACTTCAGAATTGCCTTTTTTGAAAAACAGTGACTGCTGAGGAGTTATAATAATTCGCCCTTTCAGAAGGTCCTGTTTGCTGCCTGGGTTGCCTGCAAAGAAAAAAATCTATAATGAGCATTTACTAATGTTTCCACTTAACTTCTGTGAACCCAGTAAGCTTCGCTTTGCTAGCAAGCTGCTGTTCAGCTGACCAGCGAGGTCCACACGAGCTGATTTATTTTGCTCAATGTTTCCTTCTATTTGCAGCACTTACAGTCAGATGCAGGAAATGGCAAGTGACCAGGGCTTATGTTCTAGCTTCTAGACACTGGTCCGTCCAGCCCTGGTGATGTTAAAGTGTCCTTCAGGGCCTCGTGCAGCCTCGATCTGCTTATCAGTTCTGTGCATTGTTTCCGTCAGGTGTTGAATTGGTTTGTTTCTCACACAAGCATGTCAGTACATGTGTGTATGTGAGTGTCCATATGTATCAGAGACAGAAGATATTTAAATTTAGCACAACTCTGTGTGGTAGCTGGTTGAGATGTAATCCTACTAACTAGAAAACGCTGGCTGCCACCAGCACAGGCTCTGCTGGGAAACAACCCGACGTTCTCTGGGAGATCACCTCACTGCAGAAGCTGACAGTTTGCTTCTAGTTTGAACCTTCACCCTTGTGGAGCAGAGAAGTTTGCCTTTCCCATCCATTGCCAAGAAATGCCATTGATCTTGAGTGGTGCCAAGGCTTCCACATCTGGGGAGTTTGCCCAAAGACAAAGCTTCCATCCATGGGAGAGGATTCCCCCAATCAGAACCCAGGCACGGGGCACTGGGCAGCATGCATGGCCACCTGAGAGCTAAGCACAGCTGGGGCAGGTCTGGGTGCTTTGTGGAGATGAGACAGCTGTGCACCTCAGACCCTGTTCCACTCAAGACCTAGTGAAGCATAAATTGCTGGGGGAAAACATTCAGGCTGCAGAAGGTTTAAGTGATGAATCGAGGCAACAGAAACAAGGATCTGCAAATACCTGAAGTACAATGCGAGAATAAGAAAACAATGGCCGGGCACAGTGGCTCACGTCTGTAAACCCAGCATTTTGGAAGGCCGAGGCAGGTGAATTGCTTGAGCTTGGAAGTTCAAGACCAGCTTAGGCAACATAGTGAGCCTTCATCTCTACAAAAACTCAAGTTAAAAAAATAAAAAATAAACAGCTATGCATGGGGGTGTGTGCCCGTAGTCCAGTTACTTAGACGCTGGACTGACTGTTCAGCTGAGGCTGAGGCAAAAGGATCACCTGAGTCCAGAAGGTCAAGACTGTGGTAAACCATGACCTTGTCACCGCTCTACAGCCTGGCTGACAGAGTGAGGCCTCGACTTCCA